GAAGTTAAGATTCCGCCAATCAGCGAACGAGTTCTGCAAAATGCCCTGCAACGCCGACCGCGTCAGAGCTCTTACCTCAACTAAATCGATCCAATGGTCATTATCTGCCTACCGTTATGTAGATTTAGCTCGTAATGCTCTCTTCATATCATAACTGACCTCCGAAAAGTGCCAATTTTTCGCCTGATAGTAAAAGAAAACCTATTTTAAAGTTTTCTTCGTTTTGTTTTGTTTTTTTTTAGATGTTCTATCCTATTTCGTTGGTGATAGGCCGGCCGCTACAATCACCAGCAGCTGCATTCATCATCCACAAGCTATTTTGTTAAGTTGCTGTTAGAGCTAGAGCTTCTACTATTTTCTGCGCAGTCGACATCAATACATTAGTGATTTACATGCCAGTTTGCGCAAGAATGCTTTGACAGCAAAAAGCTGTAACTAAGTGTGCTATCTTGATGTCGTTATTGGAAGAGCACTGTCAAGCATGTAGAGACCTGGATAGTGCAAGATATGTTATTTCTATCGTCCAACAGTTCGAGCAGTAAATTGAATCAGTTTTTTTGTGTTAATGGTATTGCAAAATCGATAGATTTAACATGGCAAGGGTACCAATTATCTGGTCTTTTATTGCGAAAATTTGATTTTTATTAAAAATGAATTTCTGTTCAGGCCCCTGAACTGGAGATATACGGAACGAGCGCAGGAGGTTTGCAGCCTATGCGTCTGCGCGCTCAAACTGTTGCTCCTAATTTGCGTGCGCGACACCAACACTTTCCGCAGTTTCTTCTCCTCCCTGGCGTTCCTTCGTTATCTCGCCTCCGCCCACCGTATGCACGTTACCGGCTTCAAGCTCGCGCACGAACTCGTCTATACCCTCAATGGGGCCTTGAAAGTCGTTGATATCATCTGTAGGACTCGACTCGATTTCCTTCCGGGACGACTATACCTAAACCGTCCAAACGTGCGTGACTTTTAACTTTTCGTGACTAAGGGAAAAAGACATTTATTAAAATCTGATGTCTCCTTCGCACTATCCTTTGCAATACAGTGACATGGGAACGGTATTTGAATTAGCGGTATAGTGCCGTCACAGTCTTTTGAGTTTGTGCGAAATGACTTGTTAAATGGGACACCATAAAGCTATGTGTACGTTCAACTGGCATCAGTTCGCAATGATACGCTCCGTAATCCTTGCGTTTAATTAACTTCAACCTACGTCGAGACATCTATGCATTCGGAACCATTGTTTAAAAGTTCCAATAGGTTTGATAGCATTTTTGCTAAATTTCAGAGATTTCTCGGGCGAAGCACGACTTTGTACCCAAGGGATCAGATCTGAGTAAATGAGGTCAATAACAGGGTTCCTGTTTGGGATGCCCCTTAAGCTCATTTTACACCACTAATTAATGCTACTAGACCCTCGCCTGGCAAGAGGTTCGACTTGAACTCTGGAAACCTCTAGATGTATGTAATTGTGCATACGCGGGGTCGGTATCAGCTACACCCGAGTGCTCTTGGAAAGGCTGCCGTGAGGTACGGGATATCAGCTCAATTTTGACGTGATAGGAACTCAGTTAGGCTATTTATCCCAGAGTGAAAGCTACATTTGAAACTCAAAAATTCGCCGGTTCCTCTAAATAGTCCTTCAGGCGGTTTAGGACTCGAATCGAATCGTAGGTTTGTTCGCAAACTTGACCTTGTTCGGATTTTTAGCGTGTCGAACGACCTCATCGCCGCCCTTCTTGTAGACGTTCAGGTAGTCCAAGAGGAGTTCCGGGTACTTATCTTTTAGTTTTGTGCGAATATGACCCACTGTAAAACCGTCCCAATTGCCAAACATCGTGTGCTTGAAACTCTCGCTTTTCATCATCTTCTTCAGATTGCTTTTGGCAAAAATGCCAAATAAATCTCTTTCTTCTTCATCGCCGCTTGTATCGAGGCGGCGGAGAGATCTCGCAAAGCTGTTCTCCGTGGTATGTTCTCCATCAGATCGTCCTTCGTTAGAAGCTTCCATAGCTAGCCTATTCCCATTGCAAGAGACGGCTAAGGTATCGTTGACGGCAAGAAGAATTGCAGCTGCGAGTAGTTTAACACATCTCAACGACATCTTTGACTCTGTGAGCAGTGGAAATCGAGCTGTGCAGAGGGAGAAGGTTTGGAAAATGAACGCATTGTTGACCGGAGGCCTACACGAAATATGCTGACGAATCAAGAGCGTAGATCGCCGCGATTCACCTGATCGTGTAGTCTCAGTCGTCAGAGGTAATGCACATCCTTTAATAGATCCCATATGACTGAGCATAATTATGTGGAAGGGAATAACGAGTCATGTATACCTTGCACAGAATGTACACATAAATAGATGGCACTTTGTCTATTGTTGTATTGAGGCGAATTGCTGTTGGAAATAACGTGTTTGAGATACGCTAATACTATCATAGTTGTGACTTTGGTCAAACCACAACTCGATGTTTGATCTGTCTATGGAATATTACTCTGATGAATCCGGCTTTTTCGGGATGAGTATAATATCTACAAATACTTAGCATCTGCCACTGTCACGTAGCAACGACATTGTCTTGCGTCACTTGTATTCTGAAGTCTATATCAGTGATTGAACGTCTATTATAGTATTAATAATTGATTGTTTATAAGACTAAATATTGATTTATATGTGACACCCTCTTTTTTTTTAAATGAGTTCAAAATGCTGCAGTACTAGTTAAAAAACACACACTGTAGCTTTAGATGTTTTTTTCTTGTGTGGTACTGAGCAAACTTCATTACAACAACACGTTAAACCAAATCGCAGTCAACGGATTTTTTTTCGTGCGATTCAATATCAACCACCTAACTGCATGTATTTGCACAAGAAAGTGCACAATTAAACCCAAGCAATCTTATTATGATTGTAATCATTTGAGTGCGTAGGAAATCCCAAACATTTATTTAAACAGGTACCTTATCTTCTGCGGCCATGAACATGATCTCTGCCGATACTCGAGCCCGCTCAGCGTACTTTTTCTCGAAACCTTGTGAATGTCTGTACATGTTATTAACCGACTCCTTCGACGTGATACCATTAAACCCTGCGATGAAACACCGCTGTTGTACGTGGGTTTGGTTCACCGGTTGGCGAGCTTTTTTCGATGTAGTATTCTCACAGACACAACTGCGGCTGAGTTGGCAAGTATGTAACACTTCTTACCGACGACAAGATAAAAGTCGAGTTTAACTATTCAGGGTCGTATTCGCGGGCTTTGGTTTGTCTATAAAGTATTAGAGGTTAACGATATATAGCTGATA